TATCTACTTGGGGTGAAAACCGACCCCAACAGTTAGCCCCCCAGCTCGTCAGTTTTGGAGGCGAGAGTGACGAGGTCCATTATTTCCGATCGTAGGATAAACCACTGAGTTAGACGCCGAGGCATTTTGGGAATGAAGATGCCGAGGCGTTCTGGGGATGAATGCGCCGAGGTGTTTTGGGAATGAAGACGCCGAGGCGTTCCCAAGGAGTGCCGAGGATGCCGAGGTGTTCGAGATGGTACCGAAGATGCCGAGGCAAGATTAAGGACGAGGCGATTTTTTTTTTAATAGTGACAGCCCATGACGAGGTGATTTGAGGAGGTTATGCCGAGCCGAACAAATGGCGAAGCGTTTCGAGAGAAAGCTCGTGCCGAGCTGTTTTGTTAGCGGCAAGGCGTCTTAAGAAAGAATATCAACGCCGAGCCGTTTCGTTAACGATGAGGCGTTTCAAGAAACAGATTCAACGCAGAGTCGTTTCGTTAATGACGAGGCGATTCAAGAGAGAAAGAGTCAATACCGAGCCGTTTTGTTAACGACGAGGCGTTTCAAGAGAACAGATTTAATGCCGAGCCGTTTCGTTAACGACGAGGTGTTTCAAGAGAACAGATTCAATGCCGAGCCGTTTTGTTAATGACGAGGCGATTCAAGAGAGAAAGAGTCAATACCGAGCCGTTTCTTTAACGACGAGGCATTTCGAGAGAACAGATTTAATGCCGAGCCGTTTCATTAACGACGAGGGAAAGCCGTTTCGTTAAGAGGGAAAGGGTCAATACCAAGCCGTTTCGTTAACCTGGACTCCCTGACTGTTGGTCTTCCGAGAGGAAATTCCTGATCTTTCGGCGCGTGCCAACGACGCAGCCCGGTATAGCCAATTCACCGCGGATCCTACGCGCTGTTGGACGGCTTCCCGAGGTTTACGCGGAATTCACGTGCTTCGTTTTTCTATAAATAGGTGAGCTCCTTCACTCTTCCTCGTTATTTCTCGACTCACTCGTTTTCACTAAAGGTAGCTCTCCCTTCTCTCTTCTTTCTCTCTCTAGTTTATTTATTTTCCGGCTAGAGTTTCCGAGGTCTCCGCCGTTCCAGATCTTTTTCCGGCAGAGGCTCGCCGAGTCGCGCTGTAACTCTTGTAAAAGTCGTAAATTATGTCGAGTTGTTCCGATGATTCGTTGGATTCACTTTTTCACTACGAACCGAGCCACGTAGACGCCGAGGCGAGAGGTACGGCAGAATCCTCCAAGGCGTCCGCTTCGCCGAGCCCCTCCAATCACTCATCTGACGAGGCCTCAAACAATGAAAACTCATCAGATGTCGGCTCTCCGGATGGCGAGCCGTCGGTTTTGACGAGCCGTCCCCAGGATCCCGTTCCTGACGAGGACATTAACCGCGCCGCGCTCAAGGCCGAGGAGGAGGCATTTCCCTTTGATCTTTTTGAGGCGAAGCTTGAATTGGAACGCCTCATGGCGTCCCGAGGCGCTTCCACATCTGGGCGAGGGCCAGGAGTTAAGAGACAAAAACCTGAGTCTACACTCTGCTCCCTTGAGTCGCTCGAGGCGTTGAGGCATCACTTTGGAATATCCGAGGCGGTGGAGTTCGTCGTTCCAGAGAAGAGCGACCGAGCCAACAACCCTCCAGAGAATCATTTTACTCTGTACGAGGCGTTTTTCGAGCTTTGCTTCCTCTGGTTCCCGATCCCTGGAGTGATCCTTGAATACCTTTGGAAACACGGGATCTCGATTGGGCAGATTATGCCGAGGGGATTACGGCATATGATTGGCATTTTCGTCCGAAGTTTCGAATGCGGTCTTGACATCGAGCTGAATCACCTGCTGAACTTGCTGGAAATCAGGAAAGCTCCGAAAGGAAATAGGTTCTATATTTCCAACAAGGCGAAGCGACGGATCATTGGCGGTTTTCCCAGCAAGGATCAGTTTTGGACTGAACGCTTCTTCTACGTCTTGGTGAACGAGGCATCGGTCGGCGAAGATTACGTTCACCGAACCAAGACAGCTTGGGGACCACTTGGTAGCTGACCCAAAGCTTTGCCTCGGCTCGGAGATTCAGTTGATATTCTCTTCCTTTTCTGAGACTTTTGCTTTTTGCTTTGTTTTGCAGTTCGGTGCTATCTTCCCCTGATTCCCGACGACCTCTTTACTGTTCGAGACTCTCTTTCGGCGCGGAAGGTTAATTGGAGAAAAAACTTCACCCTTGAAAGAGTAGAAAAAGCGCGAGCCATCCTTGCCGGAGTCCCCGTCAGTTCTTCGTCCTCAAGTTCTTCAAGAGACACCCGGGAGAAGATGGTGGTAATCGCCCTTAGAGAAAGGAAGAGGCGCGAGGCAGAAGAGGCCGCGAGACGAGCTGCCGAGGCGGCTCAGGCGCAGACCGAGGCGGTTCCAGCGCAAGCCGAGACCATCCCTCAACCCGACCCCCCGAGCCGGGAAGGCGACGAAATGACCCGAGCCGTAGAAGGCAATACAACCGAGGTGGTTGAGAGAAATGCAGCGCCCGAGGTGGAACCAGGCAAAATTATTCACGAAGCATCCGGGGATGATTCGGCGGTGCGAGGCAAAACTCCTTCGAACTCTGCCATTTTAGCCCTCCCGAAGTCAACAAGGCCCCCGACTTCGGTCGTCCAAAAACACGACCCGAGCCGAAAACGTTCGGCCGTTGACAAGGGGAAGGGCGTTGCTGTTCAGAAGGACGAGCCGTCAAAGAAGCGGCGGAAGCCGACGCCTGGGGACCCCGCCGCGCGCAAGTTGGTCGTCGACGACCCCGACGCCTCCGCCATCATGTTCTCGCGTGTAAATAGCGCGAACACCCGTCTTCCTCCTCCGGAAAAGTTGATGAGGCCGAGGTTGTATGGCGCGATGGCGCAGCGCGGTACCAAGGTACGTTCTATTTGCTTTCCTTTAGTAAATTTTTAATAAGTTTTTAACACGAGTTTTTTCTTTGCAGTTTGTCGCGGCCGTTAATGACCTGATGGCCGAATACGAGGCGGACTTGTCTAAGGTCGAACGTCGCTTGGCCGAGGCCCGAAATGAGTCTGCAGCGTCAAAGGCGAAGCTAGAAAAGTCCCAGACCCAAGCCGCGGCGGCAGAGGGGAAACTGGACGAGGCGGTGGCCAGGGCGTCCAGGTTGGAAGAGGAGAAGATCGTTCGGCGCGCCAACGTTGATAATGTCTCCGCCTCGGTCATTCGCCTTGAGGAGGCGAGGAGGGCTAAAAGCGCCAAGGTGGCGATGCTGAATAAGGCCAAGGACGCCTTATTCGATGCCAAGGTCAAGAGGGCGAAAAAGGAGGCGAGGCGAGAGCTTACGGCGAAGTTTCAGGAGCGTCTCGCCAAGGTGGAGGAGGGTTTGGTCAGGCTTGAGAAAGCCAAAAATGATGAGAACGATCTGGGACAGATCAAGGGCAATCTTGCGATGATTGCCGACCTGAAGAAGCCGGACGCCCCGACGCTTGACGACGAGGTGGCGAAGCTGAAAAGCTGGGAAAGTGAGTATGCCGATGACGAGGCGTACGAGCATATCGCTTCCGAGATTCGGGGCGAGCTGTATTACTCTCCTGTATCGCCGGACTCGGTCGACACCACCCTCGGCAACGAGCCGCTCGAAGAGACAGCAGCCAACTTAGGCGTGGTAGATCCGAACGGATCAAACGCGGGCACGCCAGTCCTCTCGAACCTCCTTGCCGAACATGAGACGCAGTCCGCGGCCTGATACCCTCTGCTTTTCCCTGTTTTGTCCTTCATGCTTTTGTACTTGGGTTTTTTGTACGTTTTTGAACTCTTTTTGTAACCGATGCCTGGACGGCTTTATCCACCCGACACTCATTTTTTCTTATGGATATATTTTCTCTTTTAGCTGTTTTTCGTTTGGATGCACTTATTTTCAATGACTTGTGCAAATATCTGCGAAAACCAATGGCTTAGGGAAAAGATTGTCGAGAATGATTTTGATTGCTCCCTTAACCGAATTCTTCGAAATCGATAGAAAGATGGGTTAAGGGTTGAGTTGTTTAAGGGTCTCGTTTGTATTCTTAATCCCGAGCTGGGAGTTAGTTTTGTGGAACATCCTTTAGGTGATGCTGGAAAGATTTTAAGTGATAATGTTGCAGCGAATTTTCGTAGCAACGCCGAGCCATTTTTAACGACGAGGCATTTTTCTCTTTGCATGGTGCCGAGCCGTGTAAACGACGAGGCGTTTTTTCTTTGCGTGATGCCGAGCCGTGCAAACGACGAGGCGTTTTCTCTTTGCATGATGTCGAGCCGTGTAAACGACGAGGCGTTTTCGCTTTTGTTAGCCAAGGATGATGTGTTATCGATCCTGACTATGATGGACCGGTGTTTCCGAGAGGATGAGTATGCTTATCCGGGTTTTAAGGGTTTACTTCGGGTTTAGAGAAAGCGATGTAGTCTCGACTTATATTCTCGTGTGCGATAGTAAACCGTGGCGACCTGATACATTTTTGGTCTGATATTTGTATAGCGCACTTAATTTTTATCCGTAGAGGATGTAACTTGCACCCTCGTCCTAGGAAAGGTGGTAAAAGTCTGTTTAGAGAACTTTGTACTTGTTGCCCCATTGTGGCCAGCAACGAGACGAGGCGTTCGAAGGCTTAGTTTGCCGAACTGAAATTGAGGACCGTTAAAGGTCCGAGGTAATCAGGTCATGATATCATGCCGAAGTGGTGAGTTAAAGAATTCAAAAATCCAAGCTTGTTACAATGTGAAGCTAGCCGAAGCGATAATAAACGAACCAGAAATCAAGGGTAAGAGTGAAATAAGTAGATGATTAAAAACGTACTGAGAATATGCCGAAGTGGCGACGTTCCTAAATGGGCAAGTCAAAATAATAGAGTTAAAGGAGGTATGTGTATACGTACCCACTCCCCCCCCCCTTTTTAGGAGGGGGGACAGCTGAACCCGTCCGAAGACGGGCTGCCTACGTACCCTTTGCAGGGATCAAGCCGTCCCGTAGTTCATGCTGACCGTGCTGTGGTTTTAGTGATAATACTTCTTTAGATGCATTGCGTTCCATGATCTTGGAATCGCTTCGTCAGCTAGTGTCACGAGTTTGTAGACTCCTGGACGAACCACTTTTGTGACTTTGTAAGGACCTTCCCAATTTGCTCCGAGCTTTCCTGCGTTCTTCTCGGCTGTGTTTTGGAAGACCTTTCGGAGGACGAGCTCCCCTGCTTTGAATCTTCGACTACGAACGTTTTTGTTGTAGTATCGCACCGTTGCTTGTTGGTAGTTCTGGATTCAAACTAGGGCTTGGTCGCGCTTTTCGTTGATTAGGTCGAGCTCATCTAGCATCATTAAGTGGTTCAAGCCCTCCTGCCCTGGTAGAAGTCTTCGTCGAATACCTGGGAAATCCACCTCGGGGGGAATTACGCACTCCGATCCGTAGACCAGAGCGAATGGAGTTTCCCCGGTGGCTCGGCGCGGAGTTGTCCGATGAGACCAAAGGACTCCTTCGAGTTCGTCCGCCCATCGCCCATTCTTGGCGTCGAGCCTCTTTTTCAGACCGTCGAGTATTGTTTTGTTGGCTGCTTCAGCTTGTCCGTTCCCTTTGGGGTATCTTGGCGTGGATTTGCTGAGGCGGATTTTCCACTTCTCGCAGAAGGCTTCGAAACGTGTTGAGATGAACTGGGATCCGTTGTCCGTGACTATTTCGTAGGGGACCCCGTGTCGGCAGATGATATTTTTCCAGACGAAGTGTTCGACTTGAGCATCCTTTATGCTTGCATAAGAATCGGCTTCGACCCATTTGGAGAAGTAATCCGTGAGGACGAGCAGAAAACGCTTCTGCTTCGAGCCATGTAGAGGTCCGACGATGTCCATCGACCATCTCATGAACGGATAAGGCGACGAAATCGATGAGAGCAGGTCGTTAGGTTGATGAATCGTCGGGGTGTGCCGCTGACACTTCTCGCACTTAGCCGTAAATTTCTCGCAGTCCTTGATCATCGTGGGCCAGAAGTAGCCGTGCCGTTTTATCTTGATAGCGAGAGACCTTCCATTGGAGTGGTTCCCGCACGCGCCGCTGTGCACCTCGTGCATGATCTTTCTTGCCTTTGGTCCTTCGACGCATGTCATGAGAGGCCCTGAGAATCTCCATTTAAACACCTCGCCATCGACGAGGACGTAACGTGCGGCCTGAGCTTTTAGTTTGCGGGCTTCCCATTTGTCAGTTGGCACCTCTCCATCGGCGATGTACATTCGGATAGCTCCGAGCCATTCTTTGTCGCAGCCGTATTCCGGCTCGGCCGGTGAAGTGTCTTCGTGCATAGGAAAGGCTTCGTCGTCCTCTGGTTCTTGTTCGGGAGGATTTATCAGCCGAACTCCTTCCACCTCTTCGATGCTAGGGCGTTCGATGAATTCAACTGGGATCGTTCGTCGGAGGTCTGGGTCCGAGGTCGAAACGAGTGCTGCCAAGGCATCGGCCGAGGTGTTTTCTCCTTGGGGAATGCGCGTGAGTTCGAATTCATCAAACTTTTGCACCAACTCTCGGACCACTTTGAGGTAAGCTCCCATACGTCCATCCTTCGCCTCGTATTCTCCGTTGAACTGACATGCTACGAGCTGTGAATCGCAAAAGGTTCTTATCTTTCGAACTCCGATTCCCTGTGCTAACCGTATGCCGGCGATCAGTGCTTCGTATTCCGCTTCGTTGTTCGAGGCGTGGAAGTTCAGGCGAAAAGACTGCTCCAGTATTTCTCCGTTGGGAGAGGTGAGGCGGATTCCTATTCCCGAGCCATGTTTAGACGACGAGCTGTTGACGTGCAGCACCCACACTTCATCTAGAGTCGGCTCGTTTATTGCTTCGGCAGGAAGTTCAATGAGGAAATCTGCGAGCACCTGTGATTTTGCAGACGACCTGTTCTGATACTCGATGTCGTATTCGCTTAGTTCTATCGCCCACTTGGCGAGCCGACCGGATTGGCTAGGGCTGTGTAGGATCGAGCGTAGAGGAAGCGTAGCGAGCACAACAATCGAATGTGATTGAAAGTACGGGCGCAGTTTGCGAGCCGAGACTACGACGGCTAGGGCGACCTTCTCGATCTGGGGGTAGCGAGTTTCGGCGTCGGTCAATGTCTGGCTGATGTAGAAAATGGGCTTTTGCTCGGATCGCTCTTCTCTGATGAGCACTCCGCTTACAGCTGTGGGAGATACTGCGATGTAGAGGAAGAGCGGCTCTCCTTCGACTGGTTTTGCTAAGATTGGTGGGCTCGCCAGATAATTTTTCAACTCCTGGAAAGCTGCTTCGCATCGCTCGTCCCACTCAAATTTCTTGTTTCCTCGAAGGGTGTCGTAGAAGGGCAGGCACTTGTCTGTGGAGCGGGAAATGAACCTGTCTAGCGCGGCGACTCTTCCTGTGAGCCTTTGCACTTCGCGCTTCGTCTTTGGAGAGGACATCTCAATCAATGCCTTGATCTGCTTGGGGTTTGCTTCTATGCCTCTGTTGAAGTGACAGCGAATCTGCACTTCGCCGGGTTTAATTTCATGTTGTGCTTGTTCAGTTGCTCGAAGCATTCCCGTAGATGAGCGACATGGTCTTCCTCCTTGAGTGATTTGACTAATATTTCGTCGATGTATACCTCCATGGTTTTTCCGAGCTGAGCCGCGAACATTTTGTTGACGAGCCGTTGATACGTTGCTCCTGCGTTCTTGAGCCCGAATGGCATGACTTTGTAGCAATATATCCCGCGATCAGTTATGAATGCCGTTTTTTCTCGATCATCAGGATGCATCAGGATCTGATTGTAACCGGAGAACGCGTCCATAAATGTTAACAGTCTATTCCCTGCAGTGGCTTCGACGAGCCGGTCGATGTGTGGCAGGGGAAAGCTGTCTTTTGGGCACGCCTTGTTGAGGTCGGTGAAATCCACACAGACCCGCCACTTGTCGTTCTTTTTCTTTACAACCACCGGATTTTTGAGCCAGTCCGGATATTTGGCCTCGGCGATTGATCCTACCTTGAGTAATCTCTCGACTTCGTCGTTGACTGCTTTAGCTCGTTCTGGACCAAGCTTTCTTCTTTTCTGCTTGACTGGTTTAAAAGTCGGATCTACATTCAGCTCGTGACAGATTACATCGATGCTGATGCCTGGCATATCTTCCGCTGTCCAGGCAAAGGTATCGATGTTTTCCTTGAGGAGGGAAAGGAGCTTGCTTCTCAGGGGCTCTCCTAGTTGTGTTCCAATTTCGACGCACCGTTCCGGGTGCACCTCGTCTATGCACACCGAGTCCACTGCGTCACATATCGGCTCGGTGCGTGTTTCGCGGCTCTCCGCGATCTGTAATTGCTATAAGAGTTTGGAGAGCTCGTTCGCGGGCTCTCTGTCTGTCTTCATCTTTTTGCGGTCTATGTCAGCTCCTGCGTCGGTGACGGGGTTCCTCAGTTTGTGCTCGGCTAGGCAGCACATTCGCGACTCCTTCTGATTCCCCCAGATCGTTTTGACGCCCGATGGAGTTGGGAATTGGAGGCAGAGATGGTAAGTGGAGGGCACTGCCCGCATCCCGTTGATCCAGGGAGTTCCCATGATCACATTGTAGATTGCTGGGTGATCCGTGACGCAGAATTCGACGATCTTAGTGACTCCGCCAGCTACCACGGGAAGTGTGAGCGTTCCCATAGTCATCGTCGTTTCTCCTGAAAATCCGGTTAGAGGTTTAGGGATTGCTTCCACCTTGGAGAGGTCGATTCCCATTCTTCTGAGTGTTTCCCTGAAGATGACATTCACTGAGCTTCCAGTATCGATGAGCACCCTTGCTACATCATGATCCCTGATCGTTAGCTCAATCACCAACGGATCGTTGTGAGGTCGATCGATTCCTGCCGTTTCCTCCTCGGCGAAAGAGATCACTATGTTTGGGATGTCGGTTGGCTCTGTCCAATTCTCCTTCACTTCGGCTCGACGCTGATAGGCTTTGATGCAGGACACGGTATCTTGGTAGTATAAAGATCCACCCATGATCATATTGATCCTTTGCCTCGGCTCGGGTCGCTCTTCAGGTTCGCCTCTCCTGTCGCGTTTGGGATGATCGCCTCGTCGGGGAGGATTCGCTGGTTCCGCCGCGCCGCTCGGCTCGTCTTTTTCTTGTTGTTCGTTAGGAACGAGGTCTTTGAGGCTGACCTCATTTTGGAGCTCTCCTGCTGCCATTTTTGCTGCGAGCTTTGCTCCTAGAGTTCGGCATTAAGCCGTTGAGTGTCCATAGGTCTGGTGGTACTCGCAGAAAGCCTTCTCGTCGTAGTTGGCGGACTTTCTCACCCAAGTGTTATTGCGCGGCTCTCCTCTTCCGCGTCCGGAGCTGACCTGGTAGTTATGGGCACCTCCGCTCCTAGGTTCATCGGAACTCTGCGCTGTTGCATTGCTCGATGGATTGCCCTTCTTCACGGGGCGCGGCAAAATTGAGCTTCGGATCGCTGCTTTCGTGGCTTCGTACTGCTCGTCCAAGTTTTTCATTTCCTCCTTGTTTACGACGAAGTCTGATGATCGGTGCAACGCGTCTTGAATTGTTTGCGGCGTATTGAGAGCCATCTCCCGGTGGAACTCGGATTTGTACCACAAAGATCGTTTCAGAGCCTCGAGCGCAGCCTTGTCGCTTATCCCTTCTATTTTGGATACGACTGCCTTGAATCGTGCCATATAATCCCGAAGCGGTTCGTTCGGTCCTTGGGATAGTGTCCACAGGTCGGCATCAGATGTTCCTCTGTCCTTAAACATCGAGTATTGTTTAAGGAACAAAGCGGAGAGCGGTTGAAAACTGCTGATAGAATTGCGCTCCTGCCTTGAAAACCATTCGAGCGCGGCTCCCTTGAGATGCTCCACGAAGAGCAGGCAGTATCCGGCATCTACTTCGCGTTCGGTGAGTTTAGCGGCGTTTTTTGTGAAGGCTCGTCCCATCGCTATTCGAAACGCGGTGATGTGTTCTTTCGGGTCTGTTGTTCCTTCGTAGAACGGGATTCTCACCTTCCCCGGCTCGGGAACCCTGGCCTCCGTGATTCTTGCAGTGAACGGGGTTCTTTGAGTTTCTTCAATTCGGTCGATTTCGGGCGCGGTACTTGTCGCGTTGTGCACTTGAGATTTCATGGCGCGTATTTCAGCCACTGTCCGAGCCATAGAGGCTCGCAGCTCTTTGAGCTCGAGAGTTTGTGCGTGAGTCATTCCCTTTGATTGGGGGGGTCGCTCCGGCTCCTCTCGCCTCGGCTCAACTTCGCGTTCTGCTTGCTCGATCCATTGGAGATTTTCTTCCATCTCGGTTGGGTTATCGCCGCGGGTTGGATCGGAGACTTCGTCAGTCCGGATGCCGTTCAGTGCCGAGGCGAGTTCTTCCTGACTAATTCGGCGAGCCGAACCAGTTTGTTGCGGATTCGTGGTCTCGTCGTTCTGCTGGGCGTCTACGTCGATCGCATCGCCCCCTTCCTCACCGGCTCGTTGCCTGGAGTTCCGGTGTAGTGGAGGCGGCTCGGTCATGTTGATTCGGGTTGCTGCGGGAGTTCGTTCGTCAAGGGGACGAAGAAACGAGGAATTTCTTGCGCCACTCCCCGAGGCTTCTGCGGGTGTCGAGAAATCGAAACGTCTCCGAATTCCGTCCATCGGGTCGGGAATTCCCGCTCTCCAAGTCGAGTGTTGTCGCTCAGCCGCCATCGCGTCGAGCCTCGCCGTAATCGCCTCGTTTCTTTTGTCTTGGTCATCAATTTTTTTCATCAACGCAGCTATCATGTATCGCATCTCCTCGTGGGTTTCGTTCGTCGCCGTCATTCTGCCTGATGCTGGAGCGTCCTTCTCCGCGCCGTTACCGGTGTTGTTGTTGTTGTCGTCGGGGGTGTTGCTCGTCATGTTCTTCGGATCTTAAAGTCTCGTCGATTTAGAGTAAGAAAGTTTCGATTTCCCCACAGACGGCGCCAAATTGTGTGAGCCAAAACTCGCACAACCAAGAATTTGTGAAGAGAAACTAAGGGATCTGAAACTTCTAGGATAATCGCAAGAACAGTAAGATCAAAAGAGGATTTTTATTGCTGTAGAGTGTTTAGTCTTTGTTGCTTAGGGTTGCCAAAGTTTTTTGGAATGAATTGCATACATCATATATTTATACTAACTTTCTAAACCGCCTAGCCGAAAATCTTGGGCGACATTCTCGGAATATTTCCTTATCGCCTCGTGAGCTGACCGCCTTTGCATCTTGCCTAGAGTTTTCCATGGGCTTCACCTCTCAAGGCTTCGGTTCGGCCCATCCATGCTTCTTTACGGCTCGGCCCATCTAGCCTTCTTCACGGCTCGGCCCACTTGCCATGGAGACATGATCTAGCCCACCGCACCGATACACGGCTCGGCCCAAACGTGTTGAAGTGGGGCTCGGCCCATTCCTTTCGATGCGGCTCGGTCCACCTGTCTTCTTTCACGGCTCTCCCCACTGGCTTATCTGCATGGCTCTCCCATTTGTCGACCACGGCTCTCCCACTTGGCGACCACGGCTCTCCCATTTATCTTTCTTCCATACTTAGCCATTTTAAGGTGGTTTATCTACTTGGGGTGAAAACCGACCCCAACAAAAATCACAAGACCGTAGTAGCTTTTACAACGGACTGTTCTGAGTTGGTGAAGATGTTATCTATCCCCGACGAATGACCAGCTTTTGCTCTAAACCTGGAAGAATTTGGGAAGATGAAGGACAAAATTCATTTCTTTTACTCTATCGCATATCCCACATGCAAAAAATTCAAAGGCAGGTAAACTAGCAAGAAGTGCTCGTATCTATCCTCACGACGTTATTTATGTAAACTCGGTACCTCCAATTTGGTTAGCTGAACCGTTCTAGGTACTTAGGCTGTCGACAAAAAAAAAAAAAAATCTACATATCTAACTAATAGAATGTCGTTTAAAAAAAGGAAAACAACTCTAACTAATGGAATGTTGCTTATTTGTATAGTGATTTACTCAGGTGTCGGTTACACAGCGAGTTTCAGGATGTTTTGCTTATATATCATTTCCAGAATGAGTTTCAGTTGTAAAAAGACATTTTAACCCTATTTTTAATTACATGTCATTTTTAATTAGTTCTTATCTGATAATAAAAATAACTTAAAACAAATCGCTCTAAATTATTGTGGTTTTAATGCTTCATTCCATTGTCGATCAAACCATTTTTAAAATTTTATAGAACCTAAATTTAGTAAAAATCTAACAAAAGTTAAAAATAAAAAAATAGTCTAAGACGATATTTCTGATGTCTAAATTAAGGTTTTTGACTTCAAATATATTGGTATAAATATGTATGTCTTCTTTCTAATTCTCTCACACCTTTCTAAATTGTTTAACCTCTTCCTTATTTTTTTCTTCGAATAAGTTCGTACTTCTTCGAATAAGTTCGTACAGTAGTTTAAAAAACTATGTCTAAAATACATAGAACAGTGATCAAAATTGAATAAGCTCGTGCGGTACTCCAAAAAACTACGTCTAAAATACATAGAATACTGATCAAAGATCTCGAAACTATTTAAACTAAATTATTTGGATACTAATATGTTTTTATCTATTATCTTTTACACTGTTTCACGATTATGTCTTCAAAAATATGCAAGAAAATTTAACAAACAAATATATTCAACAATAGAGAATAAAAAATAAATGAATTGAAACGACTTTTAAATTTTCAAACAATCATATAAAAAATTATATCAATCCGCGCAAGACACAGAAAAGTTCACTAGTTAATATAAAACTTTTAAATACAGCAAAAAAAACTAAAGCTACAAAACAAAAGATATATATGATGTTTAAAACCCTAAAAAACATTAAAGTACTAAAAATCACTAAAAAATTATTTTTATAAAAAAAATATTGAAAATTCCTAATCCTATGCTGAAGAACTTTTCTTTTAAATTGTATACATTTTATGATATTTAGAATATCTTCTTCTTCCTCACAAATCTAAATATAATTTTTGTCCCCTATGTAAGGAAAGGAAAAAGGATGATACTTTCACTGAATAAACTTTGTATTCATTTCGCTTAATTTACAAGAGTGAGCTACACTTTGTTTTTATAGACTAAGAGGAAGTGTCTAGAACTATACAGCTGTATAAAGTGATTCATCTCCTAGGGAACCAAGGATTTCAAAAGCATTCTTGTTGCAGACGCTCCTTGTACGACCTTCCCTCTGTCTACTCTGTTTTGCCATTAAGGCATTTGTTGTCTTCTGTTGATGTTGACTGGTTGTACGACTTAGGCTTGAACGAAGATGATCCAGGCCCACTGACTCTTCACTAAGGCCCACGGTTTTGACACTTATAGTATTGCTCACACTCCCCCTCAAACTTGGAGTGGGATTCTCGGACACTCCGAGTTTGCACCGCAGATCAATGAAAGATCGTCGTGGTAATGGCTTTGTGAAGATATCGGCTATCTGAGAAGTGGCTGGAATGTGTTCTGTCTCAATGTGTCCAAGTGCAACCTGCTCTCTGATGTAGTGATAATCAGTGTCAAAGTGTTTTGACCTGTTGTGGAGAGCAGGATTTGCAGAGAGATATACCGCAGATAGGTTGTCACACTGAACTCGTGTTGGCTCAAACTGAGGAATGCCAAGATCACGGAGGAGGAAGGAAATCCATGTGAGCTCTTGAGCTGTGTATGTGAGGGCTCTGTATTCAGCCTCCGTGGATGATCTAGAAACTGTTGGTTGTCTTTTTGCTGACCAAGAAATCAGGTTTGAGCCCAGAAGAGTACAGAAACCAGTGGTTGATCTTCTAGTTTCTTTGCACCCTGCCCAATCACTGTCGCAGAAGGCTGATAATGTGAGCTTGGAGTTCTTCTGTATTGGAAGACCCATGGTGATCGTGCCTTTCAGATACCTGAGAATGCGTTTGAGTAAGCTGAAATCCGAGACTGTTGGTGTATGCATTCGTTGGCACACAAAGTTGACTGCATATTGTATGTCTGGTCTCGTGATTGTCAGGTATTGCAGCTTCCCGGCAAGGCTTCTGAAGTATGTTGGTTCTGAAAAAGGTTCTGAGTTTAGGTTGTCCAAGTGTTGTGGGAGAGGTGTAGGCATAGGATTGCAGTCTGTCATCCCAGGTTGGTGCAGAATATCTGAAGCATAGGCCGTCTGGTGCAGGAACAGGCCATTCGTGTAGCGTTCTATCTCGATGCCCAAGAAGTACTTCGGTGGACCAAGATCCTTCATTGAGAAGCGATCATTCAGACATTTGAGGAGAGCAGCAAGAAGAGCTTGATCACTACCCGTAAGTAACATATCATCCACATATAAAAGCAGCACAAGAGTCTGACCATTGTGATGAAAGACAAACAAGGAGGGGTCTGATTTGCTACACAGAAAGCCAAAGTCAATCAGAAAGTGGCTGAAAGTGTCATACCAGGCCCTTGGAGCCTGTTTAAGGTCATAGAGAGCTTTGGTGAGACGGCAAACATGAGAAGGCTTCTGAGAGTCAACGAAGCCAGTGGGCTGAAACATGTACACGGGTTCTTGTAGCTCGCCATGTAGGAAAGCGTTTGAGACATCCAGTTGTGTCAAAGGCCACTCCTTTGCAGTGGCAACATCAAGGACGAATCTGATGGTGGCTGTTCTTACCACTGGGCTAAATGTCTCCAAATAATCTAACCCCTCTTCCTGGTCGAAGCCTTTTGCTACTAAACGGGCTTTAAGCTTGTCAACTGTTCCATCGGGCTTTAACTTTGTCTTAAAGACCCACTTCGAGTGTAGAATGTTCATGTCTGCAGTTGGTGGAACTAAGGACCAGGTATTAAGCATATGAACTCTGTTTATTTCATCATGAACAGCTTGATTCCAACCCGGATGTTTCATTGCAGAAGCAAACGTTTTTGGCTCACTGACGTCGTATTTGGAGGCCAGGAGGACGTATCTGGTGTTAGGCTTCTGAATGCCCGCTTTAAGCCTGGTAGTCATTGGGTGACCTCTTATACGGCAAAGCAGATGCTGAGATTCTCTTACCTCTACTGTGTATACGCCCCATGACGACGAATGTGAACGGAGCGACCTTGTTCTGAGATCGTTTTTCTTCGGTTAATTCCGGCTGCGACTGCGCCTTGACACCACTTTCTGAGTGTTTAAATCAATCACACACACCTTGTTAGCATCAAAGTAAACACCACATGGGTAATCATCACACAGTTTGGATACAGACAAGAGATTCTTTTGTATACCAGGACAAACAATGACCTCGTTTAAAGGAAGAATACCTTTTGTAGAGGAGATAGTGGTGGATCCAACATGTGTGATGGGAAGGTAAGCTCCATCGCCAACCAAGACAGTGTCAGTACCTTCATAAGACGTTGCGGCTTGAAGATTTCCAGTTGAGGAGGTGACATGGGCTGAGGCACCAGAGTCAGGATACCACTCTTTGCCTGTGTCATCAGAGATTCGGAGAGAGGCAAACGCTTGAGATGGAGGATTACTTTGATAGTTGTTGTCAAATCTGTTGTAACAGTTCAGGGCAATGTGACCAGTGCGCCCACAGATCTGACAGACTGGTCTGACCCAGAGTTATTTGCAGACGTTTGATGCTGAGTGAAGCCTCAGCCCCTTGTATTGTAGCCTCCTCTGCCTCTATTCTGACCAAAGCGACCACCTCTGCCGCGGTTGTTTTGAGAGTATTGTTGTTGTTGTGTATTCTGCGCAGTGAAGGCCACGTTAGGAGTGACTGTGACTGTGTCTTCATAGGCTTGAAGCTTAGTGTCAAAGCCTTGAACCTCCGAGAGAACATCATTAAAACTTGGTGCAGGATGTTTGCTCAAGGAGCTTTGAATGACAATGGAGATTGGGTCATACTCACGTCCCAAGCTATTGAGAAAACCAAAGATTTTCATAGATTCATCTATTGGTTTCCCAATAGCACTGAGACTGTCGCATATAGTCTTGAACTCACGACAATACACCGAGAAAGTCTTCTCCTTTTTAGTGAGAAGCTGGAGAGAACGGCGGAGGGTAAACTCCCGAGCAACGCTGCTTTTGTTGAAGTTTTCAGACAGGGAACACCAGATCTGATGAGAGGTTTCAAGGTTGTGAACATGACCAAGAACCTCTTCGGACAGAGTACCAAACAGCCATGACCGGACGAGCTGATCAGTACAGAACCAAGATTCATACGCAGGGTTTGGTTCTTCAGTGGAGGTTTCTCCATGAACGACTAGACGAGACTTGGGGGGCGGTGACAGCGCCATTAATGAAACCGATGAGCTTTTGGCTCGACAAGAGGGACTCAAACTGAGTTTTCCAAAGGAGATAGTTAGAGTCGTTGAGTTTGAGAGTTACTGAACTTGAAACATGGATATTATCAGGAAAAGGGTATTCGGTAGCCATTGTTGCACCTGTTAGGGTTTAGCAAATGCTCTGATACCATGTAAAGAAAGGAAAAAGGATGATACTTTCACTGAATAAACTTTATATTCATTTCGCTTAATTTACAAGAGTGAGCTACACTTTGTTTTTATAGACTAAGAGGAAGTGTTTAGAACTATACAGCTGTATAAAGTGATTCATCTCTTAGGGAACCAAGGATTTCAAAAGCATTCTTGTTGCAGACGCTCCTTGTACGACCTTCCCTCTGTCTACTCTGTTTTGCCATTAAGGCATTTGTTGTCTTCTCTTGATGTTGACTGGTTGTACGACTTGGGCTTGAACGAAGATGATCCAGGCCCACTGACTTTTCACTAAGGCTCACGGTTTTGACACTTATAGTATTGCTCACACCCTATATATTTTGGATGTTTAGAGTCAGATTTCAAGAAACAGTGGTGGGTGACGTGGGTCTACAAGATTTGTATCACGTGATTCTCTTCCGGTTCAATATCATCTTTTATTAAAGAAAAATTCATAAAGTTACAAAAGTGTTCTTTTTCACTGTTAAAAAAGTTTGCTCACAATATCCATGCATATGAAAAACATGAACATATTTTTCCATCGAACTTCAAAAAATTGCCGAGAAAAAGAACTTCATAAAAAAAAATGAAATTGTTTTATGACATGTGAGTAGATTGACCAACCTAACAAATCAGTTACATAACTGTTTTATATATAATAAAACACTCGATTGGTCCAAAGTACATGTCGACATGCTTTTGCCACCTTGGCTTTCCCAAAGAGGATCAGGAAATATAACTTGATGTGACTCACATTACATGCTAACAACCTGGTCCATCAGGACCATCACAATATAAATAAGGTACAAAGACTTTGTAAAAAATCAATGAAAATCTCTTTTGAATTCTTGCGATGGTGATTATTTTCGATAGCAATCATTTGTCTTACTAATAATTTGTTACAAAATATAGTTAGTAGTAATTTTTTAAACTTTTGATGTGGGACAAAAGAACATTAACAAAATGTGAAGTTTTGCTACTCCTTTAATATAACAAAATTTTGTTCTAAATTTCTTAGGGTATGTGTCTATGTGAGAACATCCGTTTATTCCCTTAAAGATCTCACAGCATAGACATAGTTTTTATATACATTAGCTTCATGAGCTATAACTTGTCAAGCTTCCTCGTTTGAAGTGCTGCTAATTGTTTTGTTCGTCAACGACGAAGACGAAGACGGAACATCTTTTATCATGAGACTCTGAAGGAATCCGATCATCTGCATGTGCATGTAAAACAATGTTCAGAGTTGCATAACTAATACATATACAATCGTCGATCGACATAATTATATATGATCGAAGCTATTCGCAAGGGTAAAGATTACCAAGGATAATGCGATGCATAGAAGGCTGAATCCAGGAAAATAGAACGGTGCATTGTCGGAGAGAAACAGCGCTATATCAAACCAAAATTATTTAAGCGTTAAAACGCCTTAGAAATTAGTAAGGAATGGTGCTCAAAGTCTACTCTCAAGTTTTCATGTACCTGTCAATGGACTATACACAAATGGAGCCACGACTTCTGCAAATGACTTTACCCCATATATGCTTCCCTGGACCTTCCCCTGAAATGATATGGAAATATGAAATTATCACGATCCACTAGTGGTGGAATAATTAATAACAATATTTTGTCATAGAAATCAAACATTTGTGTGTTTCTCGTTCAAATGAAAACATAGTATATATGTACAACTTATTTACCATGTAATATTCTGTAATTAGTTAGCTAAAGATAAATTCCTAAGATAAGTATTTCTAGATTTTTTCCTAACCCAAGTTGTATTCAGTTAAATCGGGGTTATTGGCGCCTAATGTGACCTTCATGTTATATAGTACACACATTCTACACTTTGTTATGTAGCTTACATATTAATTAGTCTAATATGTATTTCACACATTATGCAGTCTGCTATGTATGCAAAATCCTCGTAATATAAGCAAGTGGTTATCAGATTCATGGCATCCACAACATGGATTGGATGATCTACGGGATTTTTTTTGTAGATTTTATTCTGGTTTATGAATCCGTTCGAACAATTGCAAAGCGGATTTCTTGCCCAATAAGCATGTTCTACTAATTTAGATATTTAAAAAATAATACTAAGCACTTATGTACCATATTGCATAGGCATACAATGCTTTCGGAAAGAGAAGTGCATTTGTTGAAAAACAAAAAATTACTAAACAGATTAGATGACATATCTAGAAAGTTTCCAGAAGATAATACTCTCTTCGTTAAACAAAGAGAGTGTCGTTTTAAGATTTTATTTTTGTTTCACAAAGAGTGTCGTTTTATATTTTCAATGCAGAATTTTAAATAATATTTCACTTTTGACCCTATTGATTTAATGTATTAATTAGAGAAAAAAGTTATTTAATACATTAATAAATGACAAAATAATATTTTTAATAGTTTTCTTAATAAGAGTGAAAAATGTCAGGACATTCTTTATGAAACGGAAGAAATATATAACGTATGTGGGTTTACCTGTTCAGCGGATCCAACTTGTCTTGAGGCAATACCAGAAACCTATAACCAAATTTAAGTTATGATTAAGTGATACTGCTAATTAAGTATAAGAGCATTAATGTTGTTAAGCGATGAAATCTTACAGATGGCATTATGAACATGACTCCGGGTATAAACACGGTCGCAGCATAAGGAACCTATCATCGCACAAGCAAAACCAAACCGACATATTTTGTTATCTTTTATTGGTTTTATTGCCATCAAAAATATTATGGACTATGTCTTATACTAATATGGATTCTTCGTATATTATTTATTATTTTTAATGGAATTTAAATTATTGATATATGAGCAACTCCTCTAACACTAGTTTCAACGGACTCACCCATGCTGCCCATGAAACACTGAGAATTGCTGCCTGCATGACAAGAACAAGTTTATAAGCTATATATAGATACATACCATAATTCTAATAAATAAATAAAAAATCAAAACAAGTTCTAGAATGTTTACGTTGAAAAATTCCATAAGAAGCCCTGTTGATAACACCCAACGTTCTCCAATGGAAGAAACCAATATCGGCATTATAAACAGCTGACAAAACAAATTTCAGCAGCACATATCGATGAACAAAATTCATTTGGATTAAAATCAATGATTCGATAGACAAAAAAGTTTGGAGTCGAATAAGTTCACTTCAGAAATGATTAAGTGGTTCAATTTTCTAAAAACCAATCAAACATAAAGATGCATTCATTGTAAAATATTTATTTATTTTTGTTTGAATAAATTTATATTCATTTTTTTTTAAAAAAATAATATATATATATATATATTTAATTACCTGGGAGAAGGAGCCAATGATCCAAACCAACAGCGAGAGCTGAGCAAAGTCATTTTTCTTGAACCCAAAACGTGCTTTTAAGTAGTACTGAATTATTTAAAAACGAATAATTCAATTTAAAGTTAATGGATTATAAAGTAGAATAGTTTCTATAAAAATTGGAAACGGGAAAAACCATGAAAGCAGACTCCATTCCACTTTGTGAGAAGGTAGCAAAGAATGTAACTACCAATGCTTGAACGAGTGTGGTGCTGCGTTATAGAAACTCATATCATTCATTTAGGATCAATTATAAGGTATATATATATGTGTGTGTGTGTTCAATGTACCTATTCTTCATCAAGCTGACCATATCTTTCAAAGAAGAATACTTATTGTTGAAGACATGTCTTTTAACTGGTGCATTTTTTAGAATGGGTTCTGCTAACATCCTTCGATCACCACCATCATCATTATAGTCGTCGTTGTCATCATCATTGTGTAGCCTCTCTTTTAAGAAAACTCTCATGTACACCATGCCAACGAATAATGATACAGCTGAAACCTAATCAATTATATAGTATCCTTAAATATATAAACTCTAAAGTGAAGTTTCAACGGAAATTTTATTTTGATAGTCTAATTAACTTGTAGTCCATACGAATGAATACTCATCGTTTGTCTCTTTCGGTATTTTCTTGCTAGTATAAATGTTGACATGATACCTGAAAAATCGAAGATACAGGTAGAAAACGAGCTGCGAGTGTTGCACAAACTGCGGAAAGTGATCTAACACCTGCTAGAACTCCAAACATTGATATTCTTTTACTGCCATGAGTGTTTTTTGCCTGAAAATTTAATCGAGCTAAATGATTTTGTATAAAATTTTCCAACAATAATATATATTATACGAATACCAAAGTACAAGCTAAAACATAATTTACCACGTAAGCCTGTGCGAGACAGTCAACGGTGCCTTGGGAGACCATATCGAATAGAGTCTTTGTTATATAAAATGCATAGAAAAAATCTGTATCCCTTTTGTACCCTAATATCGCTGCAAAAAGTTACAATAATTTAGAATTATACATATGTTAACAGTTGAAAGAAAAAAAGTAAAGAGATTCACAACATACATATCATATCTCATTTCCTTAGCCCAATGAACAGAAAATCTTCTATCACTATTTGAGAAGAACACTTAAAAATTTTTTTATATCATGTGTTATTTACGTGAGTGTTATGCTCAAATATCAATATTAGAGAGCTTTTCATAATTTTTTAAAAGTGGACTAAATTTACTAGACTAATTGCTATTACGTCATTTTCAACTATAACAACCATATATATATATATATAATTTACAAATATTTATATATATTTAATTAATATAATCTCAATGTATTTAATAAATATCAAAAAACATATATTTTTCACAATAAAACATATTTATAACGTGTATCTAAATCAAATATTCAATTAAATCGTTTTAAAATAACAACCAACATGATTTTAATTTAATATAGTTATAACCATTATTTATAATTGCATAATCAGCGCATAAATTTATAATAACTATAAATATCAGCTAATATATTTCTAGTTGTATTTATATACATTATATTTATATATTCAAAGAAAAAATTATTATTAGTATTTACTCCGCACATGGTGTGTGGGTAATCTATTATTAATCATCAATTTTTCCTATTTACTAACTGGTGATAGTTAAAGTGAATTGAAAGTTAATATATATATATAAATATATAATACATATTGTGGCAAATACTCACATCTCATTTTATTGTTTAGTGAATCAATAATAGACCCGTATTGATAATGCTCCGAGGTTTTGTTCCTAATCTCGATTAATAAAAATAAATCATAATTCTAATAAAAATCTTATCCGTTATATTTTATGTTCACATAGAAGTGTCCTCTAAAATATTTTTCAGATTTTTCTATCTTAAAAAAACACCTTTAAAAAAAATCTTAAAAAGAACACTAAGGTAATATTGAATTACGGCAATTCATGAAGTGATTTATTATTTATTTAGAGATTTAATCTAAGTTTTACCCTTTTTCCAGTCGGTAATTTTTCAAATTATTTTGCATCGGTTTAATTTCAAAACCTGACAAAAATAGTACTTAAAAATAATAATTGGAAAAAACAAAACGAATCAGACAATTTTCGGTTGAATGGTTGACAAAACAAGATAGACGTGGGAAAGGATCTCATAGTTTTCTTTGGCACTATATCCTTGTGGAATCGTGAATAGTTTTGCCCACAATCAAATAAAAAAATAATCAAAAGCATCTTTGGTCACCTTGGTTGTTGGTACACGTTATTACCTTTATAATTATTGGTACATATAAATAATGATTGATTTGCATGAAACATTTATTCTATCAGATTAAAATTAATAACTAATCAGAAAAAATTGTAAAATTGTTTGTGTATAAGCATTTGAATTGATGATATAATTGACTAGTGTTCGAAAATAATTCATATCTTAAGTCAAGAAAAAAAGATTGAACCTGGAGGAAGAATAGAGAGACACATAGGAAGAGTGAGCAATGTCTTGATTCCATATCTGTCGGCTAGATTCCCAATTACCGGCATCATTATCATTTTCCCCAGTCCTACTGTCTTTTTTTATTAACCATTTTAACAAAAAAAAAAAGAAAGTTTAAATTAACTAATTGATTGAAAAAAAAGATTGGATAATTTTGATTGTTTTAAACTATCATAATCTTGAACGTGTTATATAAAAGAAAAAACAACAACAACCAAAGATGCCTTAGCAAAGAAAGAAAAACAACGAAAGATTCTGCACTTTCGGTTTGAGTTTCCGAACCCCTTATTTAATTTAGGTTGAATGGTTGAAAAAAAAAAATCATTCTTATTAAGGTTTTTGGTAAAAACTCAAAATGATGTCACCATTTACTGACAAACGTCAAATTAACAATAATTTTCGAACCCCTTAATTAATTTAAGTTGAATGGTTGACAAGAAAAACTAATCATTTTTCCTTAGGTTTTTGGTAAAAACTCAAATGACGTCACCATTTACCGACAAACCTCAACTTAACAATATTTTTGTTGTTAGTCGTCTCAAATATTTAACTTCATCTTAATTTGATTGTAAATGCAATAACATGTCAACATGTCTAAGGATTGAAGTTGAAAATTTCTTGGGAACTGTTTTTCATCGTCTCAATAAAAAGAAATTACCTAGACTTGTTGACATATAATATTGGAAAAAATTTCTTAAAAAAAATTATATTGGAAAATTTTCGAGTTTAATATTTGAAGACTAAACTATAGATTCTTCTAAACAGCTAAATTCAAAAATTAAAGTTATAGGTTATCAATTTTGAAGACATTGAGGAGGTTTTGGAAGTATTTGTTATCACCAAAAGTTAAACAGTCATTAAACAACAAGAAACAGGAGATTAAAGAGCAAAGAAGACAATGACAGTAAAAGACCAATATGCATTATAAGTAGACGTGTGGTTACCACTTGTTGTAGTCCGGTGAGGTAGACGGCGAGAGAACATGAATCGTTTAGGCCGGAGCAAACCGCATTGACGGTGACGTCAGTCATCACCGGTCTCACCAAAAACGCGGCGAAGCCTGACAGGAAAACCGTCGTCAGCATGTGTCTCAGCCCTCCAAGCCTCTCCTCCATCGCTCTCTCTTTCCTCTCTCTCTTCTCTCTTCTCCTAGTAGTAGTACTCCTCACCTCTGATTCTCAACTACATTAATTGTCTACCAAAAAGTAGTGTATAATCTTACATATGTAAATACCCACCCACGTGCCAATAAGCGTTTATTATAATTATTTTTTTTTCTTAAACTATATCAAATAATACTTTTGTTTTGTATTTTTGTTAAGAGGAGACTTTCTGTTAAAAATCATATAAAAGTTGTTCTTAAAGCATTTATGATTAGGCCGTCGATCTGTAACACCCCTAGTAGAGTTGTTAAGATATCTTAGCATATTACATCATATCTCATGTAATCTTGGTATATATATTAGCTGGCGAAGAAAAAAAAAACGATCTTTGTAGATTCTGTAATAGTTGGAACAACATGGTGTATATATCGGCCGATTTAACATTAAAAAAAAAAACATATGGTCGTGTTCAACATTTGAAATAAGGATCCTAATTATATTTTATATGTTTGATCAAAAGCAAAAAAAAATATCTATATCTATATATATATATTATATATTTTTAAAATTTTATTTGAAACTCTAAAATACAACATATTTGTGGTTTATCAAATGCCCTCTCTGCAAGAACACACCCTTACACATGCATGGATACGAACCTGTGTAGACCTGTGCCCAGCCTTTGTCCTGTTCAATATAATTGTAGCAATCTTAACATGGTTACATAGTACCAATTTCCAAAAGTAACTTTTCCGTCTCTTACAAAACTATTTTTCATTTGAATTATCCTACTACAAATGAGGATCTTATTAATTAAGACACAACGAGCAAATTTAATTTCCTGCAGCAATTGAAACATGATGAACATCTCCACGAACAAGTTCAAAACAACAAAAATCTATGCCAAACAACTTTACTTACACCACACTAAGGATGGAGAACTCTATCGTTAACATACAAGACAAAGATGAACGATTCTGCTCGCACTGTAATAGAGATTTCCAGTAAAGTGATTGGCAATAATATGCAAAATTTGCATTGTTTATGAATTCAAATCTATTTTTTTTTAATATAATGTTAAATTAATTCAAGAAAAAACCGTTTGTTAAATTAGTGTCTCGTTTTTCTATTTTTCGAAAGATTGGAAAGAAAAATTATACAACTTTAACTCCTAAATGCGAACCTAACTTGGAGACCCGCTTAGTACCAGCCCAAATCTAATATACAAACATTAATAAAAAAATTCATCAAACACTAGACCAAATTAAGAGGATTCAATCCTAATGATTATTCTGCTTCGAGAAACAAGAAGACATTATTCAGTTTCTTGAAGCTCTTGATCTCGCAGGAGAGGTTGATTTCTTTCTTAGCATATATATTGCTTAAGTAGAGCCTAGCTATGTATCTATCGTTTCCATCACATACATGACTTGTTAATAGTTTACAAAATCCTAGAGAACAAGAAGCAATTTGCTGGCATGTTAGTGGTTCTCCTGACTGTGGCATTAGGTTTCTTGATGTGTAGAATATCCAAGCGATTCAAAATCAAGATGCAGCTAAACATTGCAAATGCATGATAATTGTAGTGGAGCTAAACATCACAAATGCACCATACCAATCGAACTCTGGCGAGGAATGAAAGTTCATATTTGTGACCTAGTCTACGTTTGGTCGATGTAGCAAACATAGCAAGCATATATTTATAGCATGCAAATTATGGAGTACATAGAGTTTTTAATGAGATTCGGTTTCTCTACATTCCCGGAACCTAATCCAAAACAAATCCACTAAAATAAGATTGTAATTACAATTGCAGTGGTATCTAACACTATAATGTCTACCACTCTTTTCTAGATGGAGAATATGTAGACACGGTATCTCTACAAAATTTACCACTCGGCATAGATACAAACATCATCTTGCAGACGTGGTTGTACTCCACAAACCATCACCACCAACTTATAAGTCTCGTATGGTGGGATACACTTGCATGCATTTCTCAATAATATTCTACGTGCATCCAGTTTTTATGAGACTGTCTCTTGGTATATACCCACATGTAAATAATCATTTATTATTATTATTTTAAATATATCAAATAATATTTTTTGTTTTGTATTTTTTGTTAAGAGGCTTTCTGTTAAAAATCATGTAATAGTTTTTCATAAAGCATTTATAATAAAGTAAATGCACTACATAGCCTTATTCCTGTTAATAATTTGCAAAAACGGTAAATCAACTATTTGGACACTGTGCACATTCTCTATATGGCAGAGTTACCCCTATCACCCCCTATCACCCTAAATCCCCTATCACCCTATCGAAGCCCAAAAATTTATCCTGTGTTTATCTTTCTGGCAACATAACCGACATTTACAAAAGACATCATTTCACATATTTTTTATCAGTTCTGGAAATTGTACAAATTTTGAGATCGGGTGAGTGCTCCTTTAGCCAAGATAGAACCTTGCTGCCGGAGAGAATACTCGTCGCCAGCGAAGAACCAGGCGGCAAGAGAGTTAATTGTTATCACCAATATGATAAGTGTGCATCTATCTGAATTGGTTGCACACTGGTATAATCACTCTGACTTCTCCATTATTGATCAAATTAAATTTCTTTTCTGGTTTTTTTTGTAAGGAAAAAAAACTTCGTATTAACTGTTAGAACGATGATGATCATATTAGATTGATGCTAACGTATATAATAGTGTGTATTTATCTGAATTATTTTTATAATTTTATTGTTAGACTGCTAACAATATATATAGAGTGTTATATATATTTGTAGCGTACTAACTACAAAAATAACACCTATAACAATTTAGATAATTTATTATTGTTATCAATCTAACATATTTTTTACCATGGTAACTATAAGGTTAGACATTAATTTATATGTTACGTGCTAAGTATATCAATAACATCTTTAATCATCTATATAACTCATTTTTGTTAGCAATTTAACATATTGTTTATCTAGTAAATTATAATGTTGGACGTTAATTTATATGTAACATGCTGAGTATATCAATAATATCTTTAATCATCTATATAATTCATTATTGTTATCAATCTAATATTATCTTTATCGTATATATAATAATTGTTAATCTATATCAAAATATATAATTTGTTATTATAATGTATATGATACGTCTAGGAAAAACAGATTGTGTGGCTGTAATTTATTGCACAAAAATATTGTCTACTCTGCTTATATTTTAGCCCCCTATAGATTATACCATACTGTCAGACCCTGATGTTCATGTTAAGCTTCGGTAAAATATCTGGGGGTAAGATTGTCATTACTGATGACCATAAACACAATGATAACAATTTTTGGTGGGCCCTTGGTCATGCAGCTAATTTCGTTTCTCATTTGGTATATTCACCTAATTCACTCTTTATAATAAGGCTGTCTGTAACACCCTAGTAGTGTTGTTAAAATATCTTAGCATATTACTTCATATCTCATGTAATATACTAATCTTTGTATATATATATTAGCTGGCGACGAAGAAAACCGATCTTTGTAGATTCTGTAATTGTTGGAACAACATGGTGTATATAGAGGGCCGCGGCTGGTTCAACATTAAAAAAAAACAACTTATGGTGACTATGTTCAATATTTGGAATAAGGTTCCTAATTATATGCTATATGTTTGGTCAAAAATGAGATCGATTTCGAGTTCTTGGGAAACATAAGTGGTCATCCGTACACTCTCCATACTAATGTTTACACACAAGGCTCCAGAGACAAAGAACAACGGTTTCATCTATGGTTCGAGCCGTTAATTTTCACTCTTTTAGCATCACATGGCAACCGATACCGGAATGGTCAACAATATCCGAGAAGCAACTTCTGTATTTTAACAACAATTTTTTATTTTTAACAACAAAAACTTAATTATTATAATGATTATATAAACATTTAAACCCAAAAATAATTTTTTATTTTTAAAAACTGATAATAGGTTTTACTAATAATAATAATATCAAAAAAATTTATACATCATAGATTTATATAAATAAATAACATATATCCTTAATAAGAAAATTTTAACAAAAATATATCCTTTTAAATTAAATGCCTGCGGCGGTCGCCTACCTCTACCTTCAAGGCCAGGCCTTTGTAAGTGTGTCATACCTGGTCATTTGATCTAATTTATTATCTTAAAAAAAAACACTTCAAAAATATTATATACCGTTCGAGTAGATTAGTGATTTTTGAGTGTTTGGACTTGCAAAAACCAGAAAGTAGGTAAGGCTCTTCTATATACCTAACCAAAGTCGATCTTTAGCCGGAGTTTGGGGAGCAAACATGCATGTGCGTATCAGTAAAAATCTGTAACAATATGGAATACTAGTGTTGTGTTTTTGAGACCAAAAGCCTAGGAAGTGTTACAAAAAAAGAATTTCTTATGGGATATGGTTAGAGTCTTCTTCTTCTGTTTCATTTTGCTTCTTCTTATTGTACATGGTATAAACATAAAATAGTGTGAAAAGGGGCTGTTTAAGACTATGCTATAGAGTTTATGGTTTCGAACAAAAAACTAATGAACAATTACATGTCTCTTAAATATTATTCTAGTCTTAACACATTAATCTGATGTAGCATTCCTAATCATTCTCTTTTGTTTTTCCTCTCTCTTTCATTTATATAGTTGATGGCGTTCTGATAGATTAGGGAGATCAAGAAAAATGAATCGATTGGAGTTCCATTCGCAAAGAACCAACCAATGAGACTCTAAGCGAGCCTTTGGGAAGCCGAGCAATGGGCAGCTACTTGAACTTGCCGAGTCTTCTCAAACTGTTTTTTTTTTTGTTAAAACCTTGATAGTAGTTGCATAGAATATAAAAGAGAATCCAACCAAAGTCAAGATTATTAAATAAGTAGCTACATAGAGAGGAGAAACTAAAAACAACCATTAGTATCACACATAATTAAGTATAGATGTCTTTTACAGAGCCAAAATGAACAAGCCAAACATCAATTGAAAAGTAGAATCAAAAGATCGCATTGACTCACTCATTGCTTTGGCGAGCATTTCCATGAATCGACAAGCCTTGTCCATATCTCTCTCTCTCCCACACGCACACAAGGACATTGTTAGGATTTCTCCTGCTCCCACATTG